GGCGCCTATGGTCCCAGCAACTTGGGAGGCAGAGGCAGGAGTCTCGCTTGAGCCCAAGAGTTGGAGGTTGCTGTGAGCTGTGATGCCATAGCACTCTACCCAGGGGGACAGCTTGAGGCTCTGTCTCAAAAAAAAAAAAAGACAGAAGGTACTGCTTTGCCTCTTCCTCCTCACTTTGTCCATCCTATAGCCTGGGATGTGGATGTGATGGCTGCAACAGCCATTTTGGATCATGAGGTGACTTTGGGAACAGAGGCTACACATAGCAGAGTCTTCACAGAGCACGGATGGCTCCACCAACTGTGACCTATGTCTGTTGGGACTTTTACAGCATAGTAGGATAAGTTCATGAGTGATTTTTTTTTTAAGAGGCAGAGTCTTACTTTATCACCCTCGGTAGAATGCCATGGTGTCACAGCTCACAGCAACCTCTAGCTCTTGGGCTTAGGCCATTCTCTTGCCTCAGCCTCCCAAGTAGCTGGGACTACAGGTGCCCGCCACAATGCCTGGCTATTTTATTGTTGTTGTTATTGCAGTTTGGCCAGGGCCAGGTTTGAACCCGCCACCCTCAGTATATGGGGCCGGCGCCCTACTCACTGAGCCACAGGCGCCGCCCAGTTCATGAGTGGGTTGAGGGGGGGAGGCACAGTTCTTAGTCCTAACATGCTGTGGTGGGTGACCACAGGCTCTGGGCATTCAGGGTACCACAGAAGACAGGAATAGAGTACACTCTCAGGCCAGGGGCTGTTTCACTGACCTCACCACCTCTGTCCCTCCTTTTTGGCATAGGCAGGTGACAGCCCATGATGGGCCCTTAGAGGAGTTACTTATTAGTGCTGCCCTGAGGGAATAACTGTACCTAGCCCTGCCCTCTGCAGGTGGAGGGACCCTCAGAGAGGCAGGGGCTGGAAGTGGAACACAGATATGTCCTCCATTCTTGCCTGCAGCAGCATCAGCCTCCCCGCCCCTCCATCCAGGCACAAGGGACTGTGCAGATAAGCAACTGGGGGGATGCAACACTTTTCCTTGTTACCCATCTGTAACTCCTTCAGGTGGGCCCTGGCTCAGTGTCCCCTCTGCCTCTGTCTCCACCTCCCTGCACACTCCTGACCACTCCTGCACACCTGCACTCAACCATCTGCCTGTTGAGTGCCTTGCCACTGTCCCTTGGCCTGTCCTCCACACCGGAGCCAGGCAAAACTGATTTGTCACTTCCCTGCCTACTGCCCTCCAGGGCTGCTTCTCTCTGATCACTCTCAGGGAAAGCACAAGCCTCTACAGGGTCCTCCCTGCAACTGAGTCTGGCTGGCCCGACCGTCCTCTGGCTCCAAGACAGTAGGACTGCTCAGTATTCTGCAGGTCTTAGCTCAAACCTCTTTTCTCTAGGAGAGGGTGTCCTGAGTCCCTCAACAAGGTAAGGGGCCCTGCTAGACACTCCCGTCCCTAGCACACTCATGCTGCCTGGGGCCACCTGTTTACCACCAGTCCTCCGTGGTAGACAGGTCTCAGACGCACCTAGTACTTTGGACTCCTGGAGGTTGAGATAATCTTCATCTCCTGGGGTGCTCGGATAAAGGCCAGGAGCAAGCTGCCTCAGGGTCCCCATCAGAGCCTTGGGACAAAGGGCACAACCTGCCTCCCACCTCCTTCTCCTACCTCCTTCTCGCTGCAGAATGTGGTGCAGGTGCACAATGTCCAGGATGGCCTCCAGGTGCCGCTCAGAGTAGCCCTTTCTGCGCATGTCCTCTACCGAGTCTGGGTAGATAACCTGGTCACGTAGGGAGCCCACGGACATGTAGGGCCTGTGAGAGAGCTGTGTGTTCACACACTAGACCAGTGTGCATCCCAACACCATGCTCACACACTCAGGCTGTGGCAAGTATTCACATGCTTGCACATAGCTGTGCGCACACACACCATAACGCATCTGCAGGCGCGTGTGTGCATGTACATCCTCCTCCACAAATGAACAGGCTGGGTAGTGCTTTGAGTGCGAAGAGGTGGAGGAGGCAGGGTATAGGCTCTACACCCACTCCCCACCAACAGGCACGCTGGTGGCCCACTCCTCACCTCTGGGGGATGTAGAACATGCGCTGGGGTGGGGGCTTGTAGAGCACGCCTCCATACGTAGGCCAGAGCCCGCCCAGGACCCGGAACAGAGAGCTCTTGCCGCAGCCATTGGGGCCAGTGATGAGCAGGTGCATGCCCTCTTCCACCTGTGGAGGCAGCAGCCTGTGCTTCCCTCCCTGCCTCTGATAGCTCTTGGTGCCCTAGGCTGGCGAGTTGGCCCTTGTCTTCTTGGTAAGAGGAGTGAAGGGCCTGGGGTATGGGGTCCAGTGTCCAGTGTCCTAGGTGAATGAGTGGCCCAGGACACAGTGAAATGGCCAAGACCTGGTCTCATCCCTAAGGCCTTAATATGCCTTAGAGAGCACAGGGCCAGCACAAGAGGAAGGGCCCATTCTGCCACTGCTGAATGAATGGGTGTGTTCCTAGGCAGTATCATCCTTCATCCCATTCACCTCCCACTTCACTGGGAATCCAAGCTTTGCTGAGTCTCAGCCCTCTTTAGGAGAAGTCCTGAAAGGCACTGTCTTTACAGCTCTAGATAGTCTCCCTGCCCCCATGGTCCCCTCTGCCTTCACAGCTACTAACGTACCACAGAGATGCCACTGTGGCCCTGAGCTCAGCATCAGGGACCTCATGTCCCCCAGTTAGCCAACTATAGTTTCTCCACTGGAATTGGGGAAATGCATACTGTAAGAAAAATGCCAGCCTGCAGGGGTAAGGATGGCATGCAAGAACGGGGAACAGAGGAGAGCATAGGCCATGGAATCAGAGATTGCCAGGCCACTGCTGCCACCACTGCCACCCTTAGCCTCTTTCTTCTCTTACTCTCTGTGAGGTCTGCAGTAATGGCAATTTGCACAGGGCTCCTGGGAGGACCCGAGGTCGTTGCCTTTGGCTTACCTCAGGCAATGTTTCTTTTTTTGAGACAGAGTCTCACTTTGTCGCCCTTGGTAGAGTGCCATGGTGTCATAGCTCACAGCAACCTCAAACTCTTGCACTCAAGTGATCCTCCTGCCTCAGCCTCCCAAGTAGCTGGGACTATTGGTGTCTGCCACAATGCCCAACTATTTATTTATTTATTTTTTTAGAGACAGGGTCTCACTTTAGCTCAGACTGGGCTCGAACTCATGAGCCAGGCAATCTGCCGGTCTTGGCCTCCCAGAGAACCTCAGGCAATGTTATAGGTGAAATATATGTTATAGGTGAAATTGTATCCCCCAAATATATCTGTTGGACCCTAATCCCCAGTACTTCAGAGTGTGACCTCATTTGGAAATAGGGTTATTGCAGATGTACATCAGGATTATCCAACCTTTTTTCCCCCAGCCACACATTAAATACACAAATACTAACAAAAGCTGAAGAACAAAAAAGGGTCTGTGTATAATTTTCACATCTGACACCACAGATAAGCAAAACAGGCCTCAAACACCCCTGATACACAATCATGCTGGAATAGGGTGGCCCCCCGACCCCCAATCCAATATGACTTATAGAAAGGGGACATTTGGACACAGACACACCCAGAAGAACACCACATAAAGACAGACAGAAGTCAGGTGATACAGCAGAAGCCAAGGAACTCCAAAGATGGCCAGTAACCCCCAAACCTGGGAGAGAGGCCTGAAATGGATTCTCCCTTACGGCTCTCAGAAGGAGTCACCTTGCTGACACTTCCATCTCAGACTTTTGGCTCCTTAACTGGGAAAGTACATTTCTGATGTTTAAGCCACTGGGTAAGGGCAGCCTCTGGGTACAGACACAGTGACGTGGCTATCACCTCCCCAGGGAGGTGCCTGGTGTGCTGTGCTTAGGGCCATGGTGCCTTTGCCTGCTCATGCTTTCTCAGAGCCAGCCTGGGGACTGCTACCTTGTATCTGCCAGCTACTGACTGCTTCCCCTGTCATCCCTCAAGTGAGTATTATTAAGGGTGACAAGGATACACCACTGCATCATGCTGCTTGGGGTCAGCACGCTGTTTGTCCCCTCTTCTCACCTCTTCTCTGCTTTCTCCTCTCCTGACCAACCTCAGTTGCCCCCCTGCAAAGGGGCCCAAGTTGGTGGAGTAGTCAGAGTTGAACCTGGGCCCTCAAGTCTTAGCTTTCTCAAGAATGCAGGGAGCTGGTGACAGATAATGAAAACAGCAACACTTGGGTGACCCTTGACCAATCCTGGTAATCACTAGTCTCTTTTATCAGCCTTGACTCTATTGCCCAAGAAAAAACAGAGACACGTTGGTCTCTTACCCTGACCTTGGCCCACCTGCCACGTAGACATGGGGGCAATGGCTACTACCAACTCAGGCAGGTGAGAAGCCAAGGACTGAGGCTTATAGCTGTGGATAGGCAGGTGCCCTGGCCCTATCTGCTCAGCCCCGCCTGGTCAGCACTTAGGGCCGGGCTCCCCTTCCCCAGACCTACCCTCATGTTGAGGCTGGCCACCACCACCTCTCCTGTGGGTGTGATGATGGGGATGTTCTCACAGATGATTCCCTGCTCCACGTCTACAACCTGACCTGCAGGGAGGACATGAGAAAGCAGAGGAGGGCTCAGTAGCACTCTGTTGCCTTTTAGTGGGTTCTGCAAGCCCCCCTCAGGTGCAAGCTTGTCTGCCCTCTGTGGCATGCCCGTGGATGCCCAATAGGTACCCTGTGCTCCAGGGCCCCTTCAGAACACGGCCAGTCTTCCAGCAAGCCCAATCCCCACCCTGTGTCTAGCATTATACCTGGGGTTTCCACCCTCTGGGCCTCTGGAACTTAAGGCACCAAGTCCCTCCACTCTTACTCTACACCCTCCCTCCCAGCACTGCCTCCCCCAAGTAGCTCATGCTGCACACAGACTTGGCCTTTCTCTTGCTACCCTGTACTCAGGGGCCACATCTCAGGTTTTTTCAATGAATAATCCAGGTGAGAGCCCTCAGGAAAGTGATCTAGCAGGTTGGCTGGCAGCGACTTCTTTGGGAAGGAAGGGTCTGGACCTGTACCTCATCCTAGAAACCTTCCCCAGGGACCCACTTCAAACCAGCAGATGTCCTCCAAGACCTTGCTGGGCACTCTGACATGGGGATGGGCAGGGATGAGTGGGAGGGGCTAGGGCAGCCAGTCAGCACCTGCAGTAGGAAGGGAGGGACAAGAAGAGCTTCTCCACGGGGAGGGGATGGCCTTACCTTGAATCTTCAGGGGTCCTTCCATGTGGACACCAGACCGCACCATGGCCCCGGACCCTGGCTGAGCATCCTCCAGCTCCCCAGGCCTCTTAAAATGACAGTGTTGGACATCTTCAAACACCTGGAACATCTCATGAACCCGGGCTGTGTAGCCAGCCAGTTCTGTCACCTGTGGAAAGGGTGATCTGGTTCAGCCCCTGCCAGTCATGAGGACAGGAACGTGGCAAAAGTGGGGGCTGGGCTGGGGAGGGTACCTCCTTGTACGATGACATGATCCGCTCAATGGCATCTGCAGCTGCTGTGAGCAGGTTGCGGGCAATGGTGAAGGCCTCGGTGCGCTCACTCACCAGCTCCTCCTCTCTCTTCTCCAAGGCTGCTTTCTTCGTGGCCTCTGAGTCTGTGAAGCATGAGGGGATGGGTGGCAGGTAGGGGCAGAGTCAGCAGAAAGTGAAAAGTAAGCCACTAAAGGGGAAGATGAGTTCGTTCAGCAAGGTATGAGTGCCATGTACAGCCATGTGCCAGAGAGTGATCTCACTTCATGCCATACATGAGAACGAACTCAGAGCAGATCACATGCTGATGGATAAGAGTTAAGTCTAGAAAACTCTGACAAGAAAACAGAGGTAAAGCTTCATGACCTTGTGTTTAGCAATTGTTCTTTAACTATGACACTAAAAGTATGAGCAACAAAAGAAAACCAGATCAATTGAACTTCATTGAAATAAAACACTTCGGCTCGGTGCCTGTGGCTCAAGCGGCTAAGGCGCCAGCCACATACACCTAAGGTGGCGGGTTCGAA